AAATAGGAAGAGAGGAAAGTAAAGTGAGTGAAGAACAGAGAGAAAAAGAGAGACATACAGAGAAAAAAGAAATAGAATAATAGAGAAAAGAAGAAAAGAGAGAATAGGAGAGAAATGAAAGAAATAGAAGATGAATACGAAAAAATAAAAATACAAAGACAGAAAAAGATTTGAAGATGGAAAAAAGAACAGAAACAAAATACACGAGAGAAAAAGATTTTGAAAAAGAGAGAGAGAAAGAAAGTACAAGTGTGAGAAGTGCTAAGAAATAATGTGGGAGAGGATGATAAAAAAGTTATGGCGAAAAAAAGTTGAAAAATGAGAGAAGTGAGATAACGTTGAGAAAAAGAAAGAAACAGACAGCTTTTAATATTATACGCGTAGCAAGTCGCTTAAAGGTTAAAATATAGCTGGGAAACTTTTGGTTGAGGGTGTTCTAATTCCCTTTAAAGAACAAAATTTCGATGGAGTATATTCATTTATCAGATTGCAACAATACTAACAAAACTGCAATCAAAACAATTCACTAGAGTCAATAACAAAAATGAAAAGAGGTTTCTTAGACTAAATAGATCTAAACTTAGATTGACTATTGTTTTCGCAACGAAACATACAATTCTTAAGTTTTGCTTTCAAAGATTAGTTTAAAGTCTACTAATACCTCAACGTGAACTGCTTGCAATCGTGCTTGATAGGAAAAGGGTTCAATACTATCATATACTTTTTACTGAACAAAATGAAATTTAAAGTCTAAGATTAGAGGCTTTTTAGATTTATTAGTAGAATAAATTTACTTTTTCTTAATAATTATAATAATAATAATTATTATTTATAATAATAATAATAATAATAATAATATATATTAAAATAAATAAAAAATAATATAAAAAAAATAATAAAAACATAATGCTGTGCAAGATATATTATATACTATACCTGAAAAATACAAGTAAATGTCCAATTTATATATTAGTTAACTATGAAACCCTAGGTTCTTCACTTGCTGGCTCCGCTCTTAATTATTCCATACTTTATCATCCTATAGTATACTTTAATATAGTATAGGTTCACTATCAATAACTTATCAATATCTACAACTACGTGCATATCGCAACATATACTGGAGCTTCACCGTTTGACCAAAAGTTGAATCAGCTAGATTTTACAAGGAGTGCTAGATTTTAAAATTCAATTACAATTAATTGCATCAGATCGTAAAAATTAAAACGCATTGGTCATAGAAGCACTGCTTAAATCAAAGAGTGTAAAGTTATGAAAAAAATCGCTTTCTTTTTTCAATAAATAATTTTGTCAATAAACATACAAGAATAATATGAGATTATAATGAGTGATACTTGTAGGTAGATAGAAAAAGACAGCACTATATAAAGGGCTACCGATTTCGTAGTATTCACTTTTCAATAAAACTTATCAACAAAACTATTATCAAGGATATCAAAACTTTAGTAAGAAGGTTTGAACTTTCCTATATGAACCGTTTAATAACCGCAGCACATGTTAAAGTTAAAAACGAAACATGATCGGACAGTGTGCAGGAAGTAGAAGCAGGGGTCGTCCAAAACTAAGATGAATAGATGGATTGGACCAGAACGCAGAAGATTAAAGTTTGAGATGTTGGAGAGCGAAAGCGAGAGATCGAGACGAATGGAAGCGTATACTATATTAGGCCAAGACTTGTGAAGAGTTGTTTAGCCAATGATGATGAAATACTGAAGATATGAAATTTGTATTTTATGAAATAAAAATTTCTTATTAACTCTCTAAAACCTTAATTCTTATATTTCAACCCGTTGTTGCCAGAGACTCAGATACATGAAAAAGATATGGGTTAGAGATTTGTGCTCAGTAGCTACAAATTAATTTAAAACTATTGAAAAATCAAAATAAAGAATTTAGTGTCGCACAGTGTAATTATATACAAATATGTTATATATGTATGTGTATATGTATATATGTATGAAAAGCATGAAAAGATTTAAATTATGAAGAATGATTAATAATGTAAATGTGAACGAGTTTTAATACTTGTTTTAAATTTTAAACTTAATTTATACACAGATTTGAATTTTAACAAATTTTTTTTTCTTTTTTGTTGGTTTGTTTGGCGATTGGAAACAAAAGCTTATATTTATTGATCATTTGATGTACATAATTCCGATTTTAATATTATGCGAACTGTTAAAAATTTTTATTAAAACAAAAAATGAAAATAAAATTAAAAAATAAAAAAAAGCAGAACAGAAAAAATTGAAGGCAAAGGAAAAAACTTATTAACTTTATTATTAAACAATTTTATATCATTTTATTTATTTTCATACAACACAGTTTTTATATAGCAATCGTCGGTCTTTGTTTTTTCAACAATTTCACGAAATAATAAAATTAGTAGAATATATTCATTCATTACGTGTGATTTTATTTGACGAGTGTAGTTTATTTTTATTGAATTTCAATATGTGCCATTATACATACATATATACCTATGAATATGCGAATTTCGATTTACTTACATGCATACGTACATAC